GGCTCACGTTCTCGACAATACTTAGTTCAATTACTCACTACCTACACACACTATCCCGTCACGTTGTCACCATCTTATATATACCAGACTACCCTATACCTAGTAATCTCCCGACAATTCCCGCAGGTTCGAGAGAAGGAGTGGCGTGATACTAGTCACGTGACCTCGCTGACGCAACAATACGTTCTTGTATCTTGGTTAAGATTTGTAGACTCTTCTCAACTTAATCTGAGAATGATAAATATGTTTCTGATTTCAAAATAAAAGTCAGTGATGTCCACTTGGTTTAAAAAGCGTTTGTTTGTTTGTAGTTAGGCACAAAGCTACACAATAGGCTATCTGTGCTCTACCCATTACGGGTATCGAAACCCGATTTCTAGCTTGTAAGTCCGCAGACATACCGCTGTGTTGAAAAAGGTTATTAATTATCTTCCAATTTAGTAGGATTTGCATTTAGCTTGAGAACCTTCTTGAGTCACTGTAACTCATAAAGGAACGGTTCAAAGTATCCAATAACTTATACGTCTGATTCATTAAGTCCTTTAAAAGATAATTTCATACTTTATTGTTATAGAACTATTCATGTGGTCCAATATAGGATGACTTATGATATACTGGCTATAACTAAATTTGCCGTTTTGGTTAATTGTATATGTATAAAAAAAAAGGTAATTAAGACTAATTATCTTCCTCCATGGTGAACCAAATGCTGACAGGTATTCATGACAAGTTTGAATAAGTTAAATTAATTCAATTTTGGAGCCTCATCACGTCGTTACAGTCCATGTCACCAAGTCCATTTTTGCTCTATCTAACAACCACGCCTTTTTAAAATAGCGCGTCGGTGTAGTTTCTGTTGTAAAAGGCTCCGTCGTAAGGCTGTCATGCCCAAAGCACATTACTCTTCCTTCCTGCTTTATTTAATCAATTTACCAGCACCCATTGTAATATTCCAATCACATAGGCGCCTCATCTGGCGACTTGATCGGTTTTACTTCGAATGGAGTAAAATAAATACCCGTTTCATTCTCAAGCTGCTTGAACGAATCTGTAGAAGTAGCTTGTGTAAATATGACTGGTTTCGCTTTTTCAGATGTAGATCCTTTTCTATTATGTTTTTACCTGGAACGCGTGGACGTCTTTTTCCAATGACCTTTGTACTCGTGGATTCTCTTCTGTTACTAGACGTCGCACTTTGCTTACCAAGGCTGAGGTACAATTATCCCACAATAATCCATGTTAATTTATTTTCCAATGCCATTAAGTACAAGGGATATTCTTTTCTTGAAAATTCTATATCTCTGATCTGAACACGTCTTTATGATTTGAGTGTATGAATATTTTGCGTCAAAAAGGGCTGTCATATACTTTTCCAAAAGCGATAAATATTCGATGACATCACGAAACCTACAAAATGCCAAACAATGTCAAAATATAGTTCTAACACGTTCCTTTCCACCGGCCTCCCAGTGACACAGCGGTATGTCTGCGGACTTACAGCGCTAGAAACCGGGTTTCAATACCCGTGGTGGGCAGAGCACAGATAGCCCATTGTGTAGCTTTGTGCTTAACTTCAAACAAACAAACAAAACAAACCTTGCCACCGAGAGTTTGTATCGGCTATATTTGTCACGGGACTTAATTATTTGCAAATTAAAATTAGTTTTACGATAATGTACTTAACCCTACCTATACTGAGTAAAATTACTGACATGTTCTTTATCATTGAACAATCCAATTGTGTCATTAATATACCCTTGTAGAATATAGGTTTAGACTTTTGAAAAATACTTCCAAGATGGCGACAGATGAAAACAATTAATTCTCGTGTAGATAGGAAATGTGATTATCCTCACTAACTTACTAAAAATATGTCTGTTAACATTCCTCACCACTTCCT